ACAAGGTGTCAAAATGACCACTGAGAGTGATTCTGGGGGAAGGAGAGGCTGTGTGAGAGACGAGGGCGGCTCCGGGCCCTCCAGGTGAGGGCGGCTCCGGGCAGAGCCCTCCAGGTGGCCACAACAAGGACTTATCTGGCAGCCTAGTAAAGAATACTGGGAGCAATGAAGGAAGTGGCTCCTCAGAAATGTGAGCTTGGGATCCGTGCCCTGAGGGTGGCGGATAGGTCTCTGGGAGAATCTGACTCTGGAAGGTGCAGGAAGGGCTTCCTGAGGACTCACTAGGCTGGGGTGTGAGAACGTCTGTAAAGGTCCTGAGGGTGAAGAGGGAGACTCCGGAGCTCTCCTGTTGCTTGGAGAAAACCATTTTCTGAGCCATATAGCTTGGGATCCGTGGAGAGGGCTGGGGCGGCAGGCGGCAGGGAAAGCTGCAGACAGGGAAGGCTGCACACGGACTGACGGGTAAAGCTGGGAATATCCAGGGAGATGGATGTGGAGAGTGGACAGCGGGCAGGCCTCTGGGAGCGTGGTGGCTGGTGTAGAGGTGTGGGTCTCCATCCTTAAACCTAATCGAAAAAGGGTGTTAGCAGGGGCTCAGGGCCTTGTTGGGGATGTGCGGGAGGGAGGGCTGCCGGCTGCTGTGTAGAGAACAGGACACAGAGCGGCCATCATGGGCTCCAGTCCGAGATGTTCATTGGGAACGTGGGCTCAGGGGGGCCAGGGCAGGGCCGTCTCTCAGGTGGGAATCCAGCCCTGTACTCCAGGCTGCTCCTGGCGGCTCTCGGGGAGTAGTGAGGACCTCTCTGGCCCCGGCCTGGGGATAAGCATGCCACAGGTGTGTTGCTCAGGGTGACCAGGATCACATTGCAGACCTAACGCGGGTCTGACACTCATTCAATGGTGCAATAGTCGCCTCTCCAGGTAACTGTGGGTAGCCTGTAGCCATTCACTAGAGCAAGGGAGTCAAACTCCAAGGCTGACACGGGCCAAATACACAAGGTTTACATTTATGTGGCCGCAGAAAAAAGCTTCAATTTCCATAGAAACGTAGGTTTATTGCGATAGAGACATGCTGAAGACAAAGGCTGAAATAAATGAGTCATTGTTAACATAAAATAATAGAACATTTTAATAAGCATTAATATTTTTTTAAACATTAACTTACCAGACTGATGTAACTGCACAAATTAATAAGCACAATGCAAACAAACCTATTTTTCTTGTTCTCTGAAAGTGAAATATTTCCTGTTGCGCACACCAAACAAGTCACCCCAAAACTAATGATGTGGCCATCGGCTGCTAAATTATTCACTGCTGGTATTAGTGGAGAGAAGTGGTGTGCCTGCATATAAGGCAGATAAGAAATGAACGCAACACGAAGATCGTAACCAGTCATTAGCGAACGTTGTAGTTCGTTATTAATAATTATGTATGATAGGATAGTGTACAAATTAAGTTAGGAAATTTTTATTAAGACGTTTCTTATATCCCGTTATATTGGCTGGGTCACAAAATATATTTATTATGGGCCACAAGTTTGACGTGCTTGCACTAGAGCCTGTGTTTTCCTTGGTGCCCTGGCTGCTGCCCCAGGGCGCTATGCACAGCTGTGGAAAGGCCGGGCTCTGGAGACGGCTGTTCTGCCGGCCATGAGCAGAGACAGTCCACAGTGACAGAGAGACTCAGTGGAAGCGGGCAAAAAGGAGCGGAGAGGAGCACAGAGATGAGGGCATGGCTGCTCCCCGCACATGTCCCGGCACCACTGGCAGCTGGCCTCGCGAGGACACACTGCAGATGGCGTTGCAGATGCTCATGCTCTTGAGCAGACAGTGGAAGTTGTAATTTCCCCACAGAGTATTCTGAAATAATGCTTTCAAATTCACAATTTAAATCTCCAAAATTACAGTGATTTAAGGAGCAGGATTATAGTAATTTACATGGAGCCTGTATGGTTGGTGTGTGGGACAATGGTACTTGCTGTGTTTGTGCAGATCCATTCCATACCCATTATGCTTCCCTAAGTTTTCATATCTGACCAGGCCCGCCTGTCACCAGTGGTTCCTCCCGGAGTGTGAGGTCAGGAGTGAGAAGGAGGACACGCTTGCCGTCAATATTGTGATCCCCCTGGAGCAGCACTGGGCCTTGTTCTGAATCCTTTCTGTCCCTTTAGCAGCTCTTAATGAGAGGGATATTAACACATGTGGCCTCCCTGTCCCCACCATAAAGCACATGGCAATGCAGTTTGTAAGAATGAACTCCCACCTCCCGCCCAGAGCTGGGATGAGCGGGTTGGCCCAGGCTGCACTGGAGCTCACAGCCTGGAAGCCCATTATGGGCACAAGGAGGTTCAGTTGCTCGTATGGAAAAGAATACAGTAATTAATGGATAATGATATCAGAATAAACTTCCACGCTCCCAGGTGGAGACCTCCCTGTGCCCACCGTGCTCTTCCTTCCCGGCTCTGTGGTGGCATCGGGGAGAGCTTGAACCCGGCGCCAGGGAAGTGTTTCCACCACAGAAATCGGCAAATGCTGCCGATCAGGGCCTTGTTCCCGGGAAGCCCGCACAGGCAGGCATGGCCCGCTGATCACCCGCCCCCACCATCCCCTCAGCATTGTCCTCTGAGAGCTCTGCCCGCTGCCCTCTGGCCCCTCCTGCCTCAGGCCTGGGGCACATGCTTGGCACTGACAGCCGGGCTCCTCCCAGAGTCTGGGACCCAGTCAGTCCCCTGGGCCTGAGCGCCTGTCTTTCTAGCGTCAGTGCTGCTGGTCCAGGAACCATATCTGGAGGCCCGCATCCTCTGCCTGATGGACGGAGGTCGCCACAGCCAAGCCTAGGCACAGGGAGTCCAGCTTCTGTCTTGGACGATGGCATGAAGCAGTAAATCAACAGGAGGCAGAGCCACAGGTTTCAGTGATGACAGCTGTGTCTTCTGCCCCCTAGCATGTGCATAGCATGGTCGGTGCCAGGTGGGTGAGGCAATTAGCTTGTATCCCAGGGCACCTGGCTGTGTTTCTCACTTTCCCTCCCGCTGCCTTTCTGCAATCAGATTGCACGGGTAATAGCTGCCAAGCCACTTCATTGGAGCTGATGAGGTTAGTCATTTCCTGGGGGCTCATGGAAGGATGGTGCGAGATTAATTTTCCAGTTGGTGTTTAGGGGCTCGTTAGTCTGTCTCCTGCGTTCCCAAAGGCAGGAAGGGTAAATGGCTCAGCTGTCGCTCTGGTTCTGGGTAAATCACTGCACCTTGACTTCTGCGGGTTCCCATCTCAAGGCTCAGTAAGACCATGCTGTTGGGGCTGAGAGACAATGGGGCTGGGGTCTCCTGAGAACAGCAACGTGGGAAGTGGGCTGGGCACCAACACAGATATGCCAGTGCATGGGCAAGTGGGAGATGGACAGGAGAACAAACTTGTGAGGAGGAACAAGGGAGGAGCTGGCAGGGTGAGGGGGAGCATGGGAGGAGTCTGGCAGAATGAGGGGGAGCATGGGAGGAGCCGCTGGGGGCCAGGAAGGCTTCCTGGAGAGTCCTCTGGGTCAGAGCAGAGGGGTGGATGCTGGAGCCCTCACAGTGACCTCAGGCTGATGGCTCTTTCGTTTGGTATCAGTGTCTTTCTCAATGAGATGCGTTTCCTGTGCAGATGTACGGGAGACTCTTGTGGAGGGAAGGGAGCAGGAGCCCTCGCAGGGTTGGAGAGGAGGCTGGGCCGTGGCCCTTTGGCAGATTACAGTAGCACCTGTGGAGGCCCTACAGGTGAGCAGGAGGCCCAGTGAGAGTCCAGTGTGGACCGAGCTTGGCCCCCTTCAGTCTACGGTGACATCAGGAAGGTGGTCCTGCCTGCTCACTGACTCTCCGGTGAGAGGAGTACTGGGGATGGTCTCTGCTGAGGCTGCAGCTGTCACAGGAGGGACTCAGCCCCACTCCGGTGGCCAGAGCACATGGCCCCATGGAACGTAAGGTTTTCCAAGAAAGCTGCGCTGGTGCCTGGCAACCCCTGAAGGCGGGTGTGGGCACTGCCTGGGTTCTAGCCAGACATCACCTGCCTCTCCTGAACAGAAATGATTTGCCAGGGGCTCCAGCAAGTTACACACGCATGCACGCACGCACGCACACACGAGGTGCCACTGGGAAAACAACATCTAAAAACCCAAAGCTGTAGCGTTTTGGTGTTGGAACCTAATGGAGAACTAAGTGGTGGACGTTTTGCCCTAGAAATGAAGACAACAGAGAAGACAGAGAAAATGGCCTTCCTTAATGCTGGCTGAACACAGTATCCCCACACCCAATGGGGTTTCTCTCCTGAGCCCAGGGGCAGATGAGGAGCGTGCCTAGAGGGTGCAGGTGCTTCTCTGAGGCTGCACAGCTGTGACCCGCGCTCCCACGGCTGCTGAGTAACATGCAGCCAGTGGCGCCTCTAGGACTGGGGCTCGAGAGGAGGACAGAGAAACACTGATCTCCACCTATAGACAGACAGAGGCTCGGAAAGACTGAAGTCCTTTGTCCCAGTTCTCACATCTGGCAGGGGACCGAGCAGGGCAGGAACCAGGTCTTCCCTCTTCTGGTTTCTTCACTTATCGCCCCCTGAGCAAACATGGAAGGCCTGGGGTGTCCCAGTTCTCCCCACCCCCTCCTGACTCCATAGAGAAGCAGCTACACAGGCAGGAGGGAGCAAAGCCTGTGTGGCCCTTCCCACCTCCAGACAGTGCGAACCACACATTCCATCCCCTTTGGGGAGAGAAGGTCCCCGTACACCATTCCACCCTGGCTTCCTTTTCTGTTTCATCCTCCGCTCCTGAGCCTTCACCCCTTTCTTCCCTTCCTCCCTCAGGTCTCTTCACCTTTTTCTGGGCCCAACTCTTGGAAATTACCCAGGGTTAGCCCCTTGGCTGCCTCTCCCAGCTTTTGTGGCTGACCTGGGGCCAGGGCACCGCCCTCTCGGCTCCTGCACCCGCTGCCAGCCCCCGCCTCCCGCCTCTCCCATTTCTCCTTGGTCCCTCAGATTGGCCAGTGGCACGTGGCAGATGGCCTCAGCATGGACAGCCGCCTCTACGCCTCCAACACGTCCAACAGTCTCTTCAACACCACCCTGGTCGTCACCACCATCCTGGTAAGCAGGTGCCCCCGCCTTTGGCTGCTGCTCAGGGTGCCCCCCAGGTCCACTCACAGGCTCCCGGGGAGCGGAGGAGGGCGCTCTGTCACAGCCCCAGGCCAGCTAGTCACTCCTGTTGCTGTTCCCTCTGGATACGAAGTTTGATGGTCCCAAAGCAGTTGGAAGGGAGGGAGGGATGGAGACGCCCGCCCCACCTGGGGATGCTCCTCCAGGCAGTCGGGGAGTGTGATGGTGGAGGAAAGGGGGCCTAGAGGCACCAGCTGGAGAAGCCGACCAGGCCGTCCCCTTCTCGTGCATCACAGCCACCTCTCTCGGTGCCCATGGCCGGCAAATGCCCTTACCGGGCCCTGCAGGCCAGCGGTGCTCCTGGCCCACGCCCTCTTCTCAGCAGCTGAGGAAAACATGCTCAGCCTGGAGCCCAGGGGCCTCTGCCTTTTCTATTGGATTCAGATTTCTTCCAGAATCCCCATACCCTCCTCCTGCATCCTCCTCCCCGCCAGGCACTGCGCTCCTTCCTGCCTCAGAGACGGAGACTCCGTCATGTCCTCAGGTCAGAAGCAGGGGCAGCCAGGAAGGCTCCGCCCTGGCCAAGGTAGCCTTCTTCCCCCTGAGGACCATGCTTTCCAAGATGTGTCAGTGCAGCCACCTGTGTGGATGTGGTAACAAGACATGGTTCCTTCCCACCCCCACCCTCCCCATTAACTGCTGGGCAGCACACCTCCTTGCCCGGCCACCCTGTCATGGCCACACTGATAGGGTCCAGCCCCAAGCTCAGCCTTATGGTCACTAAATGTGCTCGGCCTGCAGGCGCGCTGCTTCTCTGAGGCTTTCAGAGATGCTGAAGGCTCAGAACCTCCATCACCACCTTCCTGAGCTGCTGGTCCAGGCTCTGGGCTGGACTGGAGGTGCTACAAGCAGAGTGGGGCGCCATCTAGGAAGTAGGCGCACACCTAGCACCTAAGGGTCCAAGGGGAGAGAATCCCACCCTCCGGAGGTCAGCAAAGCCTTCCAAGGAGAAAGGGCGTGGAAGCCAAGCTCCAGGCCAGGGCGGGGAGAGAGGAATGAATCAGAGTGTCCTCAATGCCAGAAATGCTCGTAGAGCAGATCCCCAACTGAGCCTGGGAGAGCGGTGAGCTCCGAGGCCAGAGGCTGTGGAGGGACTTGCAGGCCAGGCTGCCTAGCTTTCCCTGCCCCGGGTGGGAGGCAGGGGCCACTGGCTGGTTGATGGGTATTTATTATCTGTTGTGCTGGGCGCTGTGCTCTGTGCCTAGCACCAGACTGGCCTGGGGTGGGCAGTTGGGGACCGAGCGGAGAACTGCGTAAACACCCAGGTAAGCAGAGCCCCTGAGGGAAGGTGTGAGCAGACACCTGACTGGACGGACATGTGGCAGCCCAGAGCCAGCTAGGAAGAGAGGTCCCGGGCAGAGGGAGCACTAAAGCAAAGGGCAGGGTGAGCAGCTCCCGTCTCAGCTCCTCCCTGAGCCGTGGCCTCCGCCTGGTGCACATCCACTCACCTCTGGCTGCCACCAGCTCACAGAGCCACATGCCTGGGTTCAGGGCCCTGGCGCCTTCCCACTGCGTATGCAGATGAGGAGCTGAAGCTCAGAGAGACACAACTGGCAGCTGGGGAGGCTCTGCTTTCCTCTCCCCATGCCACTCACTCAGGGCCAGTCACATTCCCTCCCATCCTGTGGGTGCCACCCTGCCCCCACTCTCCGAGAAAGGCTGCCCTGGAGCCTGCCTGTCTGTGTGGAAACCTGCCTGACACTTCACTTCATGACAGTCAGGGCCTTGACTTTTGACTCTCAGCTTCTGCTGTCTTCTGTGGCTGCCCTCACCCCCCTAACATCGTGGTCTCCAGGAGGTCTGCTTACCCCTCTCAGTCCTTCCTGGCTTCTTCCCCTCAGTGGCCTCACGGACTCTGCACCTTCCACCCTCCGAGCAGCTACAGGAGTCTCCCAGCCTCGGCCTCAACCTTCCCTCACTCCACATGTAAACCAGTTCAATAGGTTCCAAATTCTTTCCTTCTACATCATCAGGGCCAGGAGGCACTGTACTCAGCCATTTACCCAGGCTCTAAGGGTCTGAGGCCCTCACCCCTGTGTGCCCGGTGCCCACACTGTCACCATGCCTGATCCTCTGTGTCCTACCCGAGTCAAACTGAGGCTCAGGACTCAGAATTTCATATCAGGCAGTGTCTGTTCTCACCCTCTTGCTTCTCAATATTCTACACTATTATCTTAAGTCTTTAATACTGGTAATACTTCCCTACTATATGTGTGGTGTACAGGCCCTCGTGCTGGCATTCAAGGCCCTACTGACCTTAATTCATCTCCCTAAATTTCTTCTCTTCCCCCTTTCTCCCCACAGCCCATGCTTCCCTAAATGGAGGGCTTATTGTCCCCTGAATGCCCCTGTATGACCTCACTCAGGATCATGCCCTTGATCACGCCCATGGGGCCTGCCCTCCACACCCTCCCATCGGCCAGTGTTCTGTAATCATCCAGACCCGGCTCACAGCCCGCTCCTCCTCGGAGCTTTCCAGAGGCCCTGTCCCTCTTCCCACCACTCCGGGCTGGCCCAGCGCCGCCGTGGCTGTAGGTGGTCAGCATGTTTTGACCTGGCCCGCTGTAGCCTCAGCATCCTGTATCTCAGTGCTCAGTGATAGGTCCGTGTGCAGTATACACACAGACCAGGGATGGAATGGGGTGGGGTCACCTTACACAAGGCAGAAGACCTTAAGCTCAACTGCAGCGGGACTCCTATTTGTTCCTGGTAAGAAAATTCCTTGAATTGGGAGGAGAGGATCTCACCACCACCTCCAAAGTAGCCATTATTTAAGCCACTTCCCTTCATCTGCCCCATTGCCTCCCAGACCTCCTGTGCCTGGGTCCCATCTTGTGTGGCTGAGACACCAGGGCTAAGATGAGAATGACAGCTGCCCAGTTTTGCTGCAGGAAAACCCATATTTAATGCTGAAGGGGAATCACCAGGAGATGGAAGGCAATGACCGCTACGAGGGCTTCTGTGTGGACATGCTCAAAGAGCTAGCAGAGATCCTCCGGTTCAACTACAGGATCCACCTGGTCGGGGATGGTGTGTACGGCGTTCCCGAGGCCAACGGCACCTGGACAGGAATGGTCGGGGAGCTGATCACGAGGGTAAGAAATGAACAGGTGATTTGGACTTGGGGTGAGCTGGTGAGGGAGAAGGAAGGATATGGAGCTGTGCTGTGTGCTTATAAATCCTCCATTGATTCAGTCAGTCATTCATTTTCATTTGTTTCTCTGCTCATTGCACCAATCTTTGCTGAGCTGGTCCTGGTGAGAATTACTGGTGACTATTTAAAACTGTGATGCTTTCCGGGTCCAGCCCCTGTAACCAGTAAGGGAAGCTTTGACCAATTCACAGGAATCAAAGGGCTCCATGTTTGGATAATCCAGGCGCTCTTTGTTCTGATTATGTTATTGCTCATGAGCACCCCCTGGCAGGGCTGGGACAGGTCCCAGGAAAGTGAAACACACCAACATCAGCTGACTTTGACCTTGAGAGGTGCTGTCAGGGAGAGATGGTTAGATCACAGGGGAAGGGGGCCGGAGAACCAAAATGGTGGCCTAAGTAAATGCTAGTACTCACCACCTCCAACAACCATATCAAAATTACAACTATAATACAGAACAACCATCATTCAGAGCTGTCTGAAATCTGGCCGAATGGAAGTCCTACACCTATAACCAGAGAAGGAAAGAAGAAAGCACATCAAGACTGCTAGGAGAGGCAGAGGCACAGAACCAGCTAGTCCGACACTCATGTGTGGCATGTTGTTAATCTGGAGGACTATCTCGGCTTCAGAGGCCTCCCATGAAGAGCAAAGGGTCCCAGCCCCACACCAAGATCCCAGCCCAATGCTGGGAAGAGAACCCCTGAAACTAAGCTGTAAAAATCATTGGAAATTGTAACTAAGTGACACAGAAGCTGCTCCAGGCGGTTCCTCTGAAATAACCCACACAGAGATTTACTTAGACTTACTCCCCCTGGTGATTCTCTGAGATCCTGTCCCACTCAATTTGTAGTTCCACCCAAGCAGTTTGTAGCAGCTTTTCCATATGAATAGCCTATCCTGGCTCAGGATTCAGACTTTCCTAAAATCTCTCAAATAAGCAGTAGCTGGTGTCAGCCTGCCCCTACTTCTCAGTAAGAGGCCCAAACCCAACACAAGTGGCATTCATCTGCAGATCCCTCTGCAGCTATTACCGTATTTTTCGGACCATAAGACGCTCCGGACCATAAGACGCACCAGTTTTTAGAGAAGGGAAATGAAGAAAAAAAGATTCTGAAACAAATAGTGTCCTAAAGTATTTTATGTGCATTAAAACCCAACATCACAGTCATAAACACATGTAATCAACCCTGTAAAGTAAACAGCAGCATTTAGAACCATTTTAGAGCCGGGCAAGCACACAGAGACCACACAGAGCTGGGCAAGTAAAAAAACTTTTTTTTTAAAGTATATTGTAGGCTATATTTGGACCATAAGATGTAGGGACTTTTCCCCCCCACTTCTGGGGGGGAAAAAGTGCGTCTTATGGTCCGAAAAATACGGTACCAAGTGGCCCCAGTCAGGGCACAGGTAGTGACTGACTTTGCACCCTACTTGGAGGCCCCAGAGGCAATGCATCCCATGGATAGCTTTAGAGCATGCCAGATTACAACTCTACACATCCACAAGTCACTCAAGAGACAGACTCAGTGAGCACCAAAGGCCCACTGAAGCAAGTCCTCTCCATAGGGGCGCTCCTGCACAGAGTTTTTCCACTGTAGTTGCCACTGGTCCTTACAGCCAATTGGCCTTGGAGTCAATCCCTCCAGTGATGCCAACAGCAATCATGGCTCAACTACAAGATAGTGCACATAGCCCACATAGGGGCCCACCTAGAAGGCCCAGTTCAGATGACTGAGGAAGCTGAACCACTGATCCCTACAGAACACCTACTATACAAGGCCACTCTACCAATTCCAAGAGACATAGCAGCTCTATCTAATGCACAGAAACAAACTCCAGGAAGCAACCAAAATGTGGAGACAAAGAAACTTGCCACAAATGAAAGAACAGAATAAATCTCCAGAAAAATAACTAAATGAAATGAAAGCAAGCAAACTACAGAGTTCAAAACAATGGTTATAAGGAAGCTCATGAAACTTAATGAGATCTTCAAGGGACTTAGTGAGAACATCAAGCACATGAAAAAGGATCGGACAGAAATGAATGATATACTAATTGAAATAAAGAATAATGCATCAGGTCAACAATTTGGAATATGAAGAAGCAAAAAACACCAAATCAGATGAATAAAAAGAAAAGAACATCCAAAAATATAAAGATAGTGTAAGGAGCCTCTGGACAACTTCAAATGTGACAACATTCATATCATGGAGGTGCCAGAAGGAGAAGAGTGAGAGCAAGATATTGAAAACCTATCTGAAGAAATAATGACAGAAAACTGTCCCTACTTGGTGAGAGAAATAGACTCACAAGTCCAGGAAGCGCAGAGAACCCCAAACAAGAAAAACCCAAAGAAGCCAACACTAAGACACATCATAATTAAAATGCTAAGGGCTAAAGACAAAGAGAGAATATTAAAAGCAGCAAAAGAAAAGCAGTTAGTTACCTATAAGAGAGTGCCCATACAACTGTCAGCTGATTTCTCAACAGAAACTATGCAGGCCAGAAGTGAATGACAAGAAGTGACAAATAGCAAGGACCTACAATCAAGATTACTCTACCCAGCAAAGCTATTATTTAGAATTGAGAGTCAGATAAAGAGCTTCCCAGACAAGAAAAAGCTAAAGGAATTCATCACCACCAAACCAGTATTATATGAAACTAGAGGCCCAGTGTATGAAATCCGTGCAAAGACCAGGGGGTTGGGGGTTCCTCAGCCTGGCTTGTGTCCTTTCTCAGTCCAGGAGCGCTCAGGGAATGTCTGACTGATGGCTTAGTCTTTTGAACTTCTAAGCCATTAATTGGACATCTTTAGTGCTGCTGTGGAGGCGGGAGAGAGTCCACTCAGCAGCCATGGGTCCAGCTTCTGGCTGAGATGTGCTCCCCTTGTGGGAGTGCACTGACCACCAGGGGACAGCTCCTGCATTGAGTGTCTGACCCCTGGTGGTCAGTGTATGTCATAGCGACCAGTCATTCCACCCTTCAGGCCATTTGTATTTTGGCCTTTTATTACATAGGATGTTGAAGGGTACTTTTTTAAAAAGAACAAGAACAAGAAGAAGAAAAAGATTTTTCAAATGAACAATAAAATGGGGGGGGGGAAGCATTATCTATCAACAATTGAATCTAAAAATCAAAATAAATGAACAAGAAATCTAAAGAACAAAACAAACTGATAAATAAAATAGAACCAGAGGCATGGGAGCATGGAACACACTGACCTATATCAGAGGGAAGAGGGGGCAGGAAGAGGTCAACCAAAGGACTTATATGCATATATGCATTATCCATGGACACAGACCATAGGGTGCGTGGGGTGTGATATGAACCCCACGGGGGAGAAGGGCAATGGGGGGAAAGCAGGACATCTGTAATACTCTCAGCATTAAATATTTAAAAATAAAGAAATAAGTACAATCACAGGGAGGGATCGGAATGAGCATCAGTAACCGGTGCAGTTATGCTTGTGTTGTTTTCACAGTCAGTACGAGGCTGCGCCGGGGTCTGAACGCCGAGCTGCAGGCTTCCCCTGCAGCCCTGGCCTCCAGGGCCTGTGCCATCTCCACGGGAGGGTGCCTGGGTGCAGGCCGTGCCTCTCCCCCACCCCACCCCCTGCCCACTCCTCTGCTGCCCTCCCTGCTTTCTTGCTTTCTTTTCTTTTTTCTTTACTCCCTTCCCTTCATTGAGTGGATTAATGTGGTTTTGTAAAATATATCTTTATGGTGGAAAGTGTCACAGATGTCCCCTTTGTTTTTTTGCCCATTGAGCCCTCCACCCCATGCCCGTCCCTCCCAGGCCTTCACCACTATGTCTGTCTGTGGCTCTGCAGCATGCATACGCGCCCCTGGTTAATATGGTTTGACCCTTTACCTGCACCGAACTTGGAATACCAGATGCACTTTTTAAAATCCGAGGCTTAAGGCTTACATTTTAGTTGGGGCAATACACAAGCTACCCTTGACAAGGCATGTGGGCTCTGTGCAGGCTGGACAGGAAGGCGTCGAGATCTGGGGGCGCTGAGGAGCCTGTCTGGCCATGTGGACCCGGCGGGCGCACAGCAAGGCTTGTGCAGAGAATGGGGACTGCCCTGTACTGCAGCCCAGGGGGCTCAGACGTGGGACTTGCCCTGGAGAGCTGGCAGGTGCAGGGCTGAGCAGTCAGCAGGCAGGTCAGAGGCCCAGGGAGGAGCCTGCAGCTGCTCCCTGGGGCAGGGCAGGGCGGGTGAAGACCTGGGTGGGGCGGGGCCTGGCGGTTTGGGAGGTGCTGCTTTTCTCCCAGGTCAGCCCCTCCTGCTGCCCTCCTGCTCCATCGCACTGTGGGTGGCAGCCCGGGGTGTGGACCAGAGAGCTGAACCCGAGGCCAAGCAGCACCTGCACCTCAGCCACCACCAGGTTCTGCCCGAGTTGAGAGAACTGTTTAGAGTTCCTGCCCGCGGGCAGCACAGCCTCTGCCTGCTCCCCAAGCCAGCTGGCCACTGTCCTGTCTCAGCAAGTCAGCGTTTGGCTACCCTTCCCCCCACACACACACCAACCTTCACCCTTACTCCTCCACCCCTGAATCAGCCAGCCTTGGTTTTTCCTCCCTCACCCCGGGATTGTGGGTTCTATCCTGGCCCTGAAGCCAGGGTCCTGCACCCCGCGGACGTGTTTCCTGTCCTCGGCTGATGCGTGGACTTGGTGTCACTGGGCTGGAGGCTGATGAGAAACAGGCTATTTCCCCACCTGCACGGGCTCTGTGCTGGACCAGGACTGCCGGGCAGGCCACTATTGGACCCGGTGACGGGCCAGGCTGCCCTGCTCGCCACGCACGTGCGTGCGGGAGGCGTGTCCACCTGTGGGTTTCCTTCTACAAAGAGGCCTCTGTTTGCCAAGCCAGGTGCCACTAGGCTCCCGGGAGGACCGATTTGTGTCATCCACCTGATGGGCCACCTCCCTCCGA